CACAGCTTAGAGGGAGCATCGGCTGTCAGTTGCGTGTCTTTGCTCAATGGATCTCTTCTGTGATTCCTTTGCAGGCATATCCAGCACATCGGTTGGGATCCCAACAGTGGATTTGATGTATGTACCCACATGGTTTACTTGACGGAGGGAGAGACCATGGGGGGGGGGAGTTATTCTTAGGTCTCCAAAAGGTGTGAGATCCTCAGACCAACACAGCTACCCACCTTGATCTAACGATAAAATACACATAGACTTTTCATATGAGTTTATTCATTATAATATAGCACACAGTATAGCTGCCAAGAGGGACCTGGCAACCCTAGTATAAAATATCAGCCTCAAGGCAGTTCTTAAACAAGTGATTCAGCTTTATTAACAAGAACAATCAACAACAATACAATACAGTAAGTAGCTCAATTTATAGTCCTTTGGCCTGGCAAACCACGCCCGCTAGGCTGTTAAACCCCAATCGTAACTTGTAGATAACGACCAATAGTTGCTGCTCCCTCCAAAACCATCCCTAAGCTCTGATTGGCCCCCTGTGTAAAATAGCCAATCAGAACGTGCAGTTTAGGATACCAGGCCTCTATGAAGCTGTGGACTGAAGCTCAGATCAACTCAACTGTGACCGATTTCCCACAAGCGCTGCTCCACGCTCGCTCTTCCCTTTTGCCCCGATGGTACGTGTCAATTTCACACAAGCTGCTACACGGCCCGGCCCGCAGCTTCGCGTGATTTCCCCCACGTCTACTCAGTCGTGTTTTTTGAGGATTGAGTAGATGCGGGGGAAATCGTGTGAAGCTCCGGGGCAAAATGTGGCCGCGTAGCACCTTGTGTGAAATTGACACCATGTACCATCGGGGCAAAAGGGAAGAGCAAGTGTGGAGCAGCGCTTGTGGGAAATCGGCCCTAGGCTGCGGTCACACGGAGCATTAGCCACACTACAGAGACGGAAGATAGGCGGATTTTCCGGGCACAATCAAACCGCAACATCTGGGAAGCGTAGAGCTCCCGTGGCTAACCCGAGGCTTCCCACCGAAGATGCGCCGTAAAAAACTAGTACCTCCGAGGTACTAGTTTCCGGAAACCGCGGGGCAAGGGCGGGCGTCTGATCACGTTTCGGTGGTAGCTCTTGGCATCCGGCGCCCGCCCATGTCCCGTCACGAAAAGGTTCCCCCCCCAAGTCTCCAAGGGATGCGCACAAGCACCCAACGGCGCATGCACACACTTTGGTTAAAAAAACACACACAACCCCCGCCGCGCCGCTTCTTTGCTGCGCCGCAGGACTGACGTATGATCAGCACCTCCCCCCAAACCAAGGGACGTTGGTGGGACATTTGATCCTGCGGCCGCGCGGTAGTTTGCTCGGCAGCAAACAGCCATGCCTCCCCCCTCGATATCCAGCCCTAGTTTAGCAGGATCTGAGAAGAAAGGGTTTCCCCTCAGCTTCCTAGTAAACACTGCAGAAAGGCCTGGCCAGCAGAGTCAGAACAACACACTGCACTCTGCCTTCCCTGCACCCCTAGTGGCTGCCATTCAGAACACATCTGGGGAAACAGTAAACGTGTCCCGTGACTGCAGCATGATGCTGGCTTCAGGGGGCCCTCCAGCTGACTTCCGCCCCTGGAATTTTGTTTCCCCAGTCTCCTCCCCCCCCCCACCCTGTGCGTGTGTGTCTAATGGACAGGGAATGGGTCTTCAGAGCTTTCTGTTGGTACTGTCCCCTTTCCTTCCAGAAGGCCAATACATTTTGCAAAATCAGCAAATACGGGCTAAATCTACCGAGGTTTCGGAGTGCAGATTAGGTTGGCGCGCGAATTTCGGTTCGTTTGTCAATTTCGTTCCACCGCCCTGAAAAGCCGTATGGCTGTGCCGCAACCAGCACAGGTGCTAGGATTGGCTTGGTTGTACACAGTGTTTGAGAGGAGGGCCTGACAGTGCCGGGGGGATCTCATAAGGTAGCTTTAATGCGTTCCCGCAGCCCTGTAACTCCACGCTGCATTCCATTTCTGTCAGCCGCAGCAAAATCAGCCATCAAACAATAAACGGTGAGCCACATTTAATTTTAATTACTTAATTAAAACATTTTAATGCCCCCTGTACACCTGATCAGGGTCTCCCAGGCAGCACACACAAAAACATTTCAACAATAAAAAACAACATTTAAAATGATAAAACAATGCAATTAAAACACATAAGGAAATGGTACCAGAACCAGGGAGGAGGACCAATAACCATTATTGGGGGAATGGCACATGAAACAAAAAAAGTCATCACCCACTGGAGGAAGAGATATATATATATATAAGTCATCACCCAGCTACTAAAGGGAGGGAGTTCCAAAATTTTGACACCATGATTGAAAAAGCACTTTCTCAGATTGCTGCCTGTATAGGCCAAGATGGCAGGGGCAACCAAAGCCAGTTTGGTGTAGTGGTTAAGTGTGCAGACTCTAATCTGGGAGAACCGGGTTTGATTCCCCACTCCTCCAATCGCAGCTGCTGGATGACCTTGGGCAAGCCATAGTTCTGTCAGAGTTGTTCTCTCAAGGACAGTTCTGGAAAGAGCTCTCTCAGCCCCACCTACCTCACAGGGTGCCTGTTGTGGGGAGGGGAAGGGAAAGGAGTTTGTAAGCCGCTCTGAGACTCCGAGTGATGAGCGGAATGACTGGATAGATTCATATGGGAAATGCTGGTTCTTAAGATGCATTGGTCCCAGGCCGTACAGGGCTTCAAAGGTCAATCCCAGCCCATTGAATTGAGCCCGGAAGCAAATTGGAAGCCAGTGTAGACATAACAAGCCTAGAATTATATGGTACCTACAGCCCACTCCAATCAGCACCCTGGCTGCAGCATTCTGTACCAACTGCAGCTTCTGGTCAGTCTTCAAGAGCAGCCCCGCGTAGAGCGCATTGCAGTAATCTAATCGAGACGTTTACCAGGGCATGCACCCTGGTGGCAAGATCTTTTCATGTGTCTTGGCTCAAGACGTCAGGCATAGCACAAACGATGGCAACGGGGGTCTCGCAGGCATGAACACACACCCATCCGCGCATGTTGATATTTCGGTTTCAGGTGAATAACTTGGATCCTGACTTGAAAACGCTCTTCTCCCGTGCGGGAATCAGCGAGGCCCAGCTGACTGATGTGGAGACCTCCAAGATTATCTATGACTTCATTGAAGGCCAAGGAGGGCTGGAGGCTGTGAAGGAGGAGCTAAGAAGGGAAGGTGAGACACTGGGAAAGGAAGATGTCTGTGACGTATCCCCCCGGGACCTTAAATAACACCACTCCAACTACTAAATGGCTTCTTATTTAGAATTTAGATGCACCGATTTGAGGGTGAGCCGTACAAGACCTGGCGACCGTATTGGAGACCCCGGACTTCGGTGTAAATATACGCAGGCAGTCACCCGTGAAATGGGATCTGAGTGTTCCTATTTGTTTGCTTTCAGGTCCGACGCATCCCCCCCCCCCCCCCCCCAACCGAACCCGGCCCCCCCCCCCCCTCTGGATCAGCCCCACCACCGCCTCCTCCCCCACCGCCTCCCCCACCTCCCTTCCAGAGCTCTGGACCGTGTCCTCCACCCCCTCCCCTCCCCGGAACGCTGGGTTCCACGGGGACACCACCTCCTCTTCCTCCCTCCTCGGGGCGTGGCGCACTGCTGGATCAAATACGCCAAGGAATACAACTCAATAAGGTGAGACGAGCTGGGGAGTCTCGTGGATGGATTGCGCTGCGTGAGGCGGGTCCGACTGCCATATTCGGGGTTGGGGAGGAGTCATCTTCCCAGGGTTGGACTGGCTAGAGGAGGGGTCCCCAACCTTTTTGAGCCTGTGGACGCTCCGGGGATTCTGACACAGCATGGGGAGCGCAGCCACAAAACGGCACAGGAGGCGGAGCCAGCCACAAAATGGCTGCTGCCGCTTACCTCCAGTCATGCAGTGAAAATCTTGTGCTATGGCGGCAGCTGCGGCCAAAGCCATTTTAAAAAAAGAACAAAACTGAACCTCAATTAAATCTCCAACGGCCAAGAGCTCTACCTGGCCTCATCCACTTTCTAAAAACGCTTGGCAGATACTGGAAATGACTGCTGGAAATGACTTCTGTGAAATCAGGTGGTGCCAAAGAGGCGCTGTTTAGGATGAGCTGGCCCGTGTTTAGCGGCTCCCCCCCCCCCCCCCCCAACGGGGGGGGAGACGACCCCCCCCCCCCCCCAACATCAGGGAGAGACAGGCTTGGACAGACAGAGCAGAACAGTTTGTGCTTGCCCTGCAGCTAAAAGGTTGGACCAGCACAGTAAAGACTGGATTTTTAGGACTCTTTTTCACGAGGGAAAGTTTATTAAACCGATCTGGTCTCAGCCTACGAATCGTCACCATTATGAACAATTGACTTGCTTTGCAAAAAGTGCTAGGACTAGGGGTCATTTCCTGCAGGAGCGCACGGGAGCGGAGCTCCGGCAGTAAAGAGCCCGGGGGGGGGCCACATGCAACAAGCCCCACCCCCTGCTCCCAGCAGCCCTCAGTCAGAGCAAGAAACAGCCGGGTAAGCTGCAGAGTTCCCCTTCCCCGGTCCAAAACAGTCCAGTGGCACTTTTAAGACCAAGTTTTATTCAGGTACAAGCTCTCCCTCCTCTGTGAGGACAGATCTTTCAACTGTACTCCAGGCATAACAGGAGAGGAAAGAGCACATGAGCAACATACCAGATTATAATCACCATGAACAAACCTCCGTTGTTTTTTTCCAGGACATCTGGAGAAACCCAAGTCTATATCTCGCAATGCTATGCATCTGTGATGGTTAGGGTTGCCAGTCTCCAGGCAGGAGACTTCCTGGGATTACAACTGATCTCCAGGCAACAGAGAAAAGTTCCCCTGGAGAAAATGGCTGCTTTGAAGGGTGGCCTCTATGGCATTATTCCCCATTGAAGTCCCTTGGCTCCCTAAACCCCACCCTCCTCAGGCTCCACCCCCAAAATCTCCAGGTATTTCCTGTTGGAATTATTTCCAGTAGTGAGCAGAGTACTCAAGGCTTACACCGCAGCAGAGCCCATCTGGAGTGTGTGTACTGCAGGAACAAAGTTACATGGAGCTTCTTTATCTTTGTTAAACTAATAATAGCCCTTTATTATATGGAACGTCATTCTAGACAGGATTGGGTAGAGATAGGATTCTAATCTAGTCTAACTAGCTAGGATGGATAGAGATGCAGAAAGTATGTCCTACCCTCATGGTGCCAAGATCTGGCAAAGTGTGTGGAGAGAGAGGGTGTGAGACCACAAGGAGGGAAGTTTCCCCAACAGTCGCAATCTACACATCAAAGGGATAGCATCAGAGAGTGAAAAGGAAAGGCTGCTCAGTGTCCTAGCCTATCTATCTCTCTGACTCTCTTGTGGTCCTCCTTCGTAGGCTGAGGCTAAGAGACAGTGCAAAGTCCTTCACTTCCAGCATTTTCCAACCCGGAGCTGGCAGCCCTACACGCTTTACTTTTAAAAAACCAGGGAAATCTCCTTGAGAGTGCACCAGTTCTGTATGACATCGTGGTCTGAGAACCTTTTCCACACTGATATCTAAGATACACCGGTACAACATTTGTTTGTGGCCTGCATATTACAGTGTGATTGACAAATGCAGCTGAGATGACTGCATCCTAGAACGCCAGGTGAAGCCATGGAGCCGACAAATAAGATGGGTTTGCTGATAGATATTGAGTCTGTGAGCAGACACAAATCTTGAAAAGGTCAGTTCATGTGTTTTAAAGTCCTTATGGCCACCAGAAGGACTTTCGTAAGAATATAAGAAAAGCCCTGCTGGATCAGACCAAGAGTCCATCTAGTCCAGCATCCTGCTTCACATAGTGGCCAGCAGGTGAGTTGTGGGTTCTCCTTCATTCCTGCATGTGGAGAAGGGGATTCAGGTGCTGAAGCCAGTGCTCTTCGTGACAGGAAAGTAGGACGAGGACCTTGAGAAATTTATTTGTGTCCGTGGTGCTCCCAGAGTAATACAGACAGATCAGGGCATGAATTTAGAGCATTTTGGCTCACAAGAACCTTCTTCAGAGGGCAAATAGTACAAAATACAACATGCAACAAAGTCCCTGTTACACTGGCAAGGCAGTAAACAATTGTTATAGGACCAAAAATTGAACGTTCCAATCTGGAATTGAATTGCATACAAAATGTTTTTTTGCTTGTGGGCCACAAATGTATCTGGCCTTGTGTCAGAAGCAATTGCATATTTTGGAGATAGTAATAGCATCAATATGTACCTTCCAGTTTAGGTCCTAAACTTGTGAGCTGAAACGCATCAGGTCATATGTTGTTCTTTTTTTGTGCATTTGTCACATTGAAGATTTTATGAGGTTTTATTTAGGCCCCTACAAGGTTATCATGTGTTTTTGAAGTAAGCACGAGTACTTTTGTCTATACCTTTTATGTTTTTAACTTTTGGCCCTTAACTAGTTTTCTAAACTTCCTTTGGAGGTTTTTGCTTGAGTGGTTTATGTTGTGTACTAAGGATGAGTCAGCCTCAACTAGCCCTGGGATCGGGTTGAGCTTGCGTCCACAAACAATAGCTGGCTAGGATCCTATAATGGACCAATAGAGAAACAAGGATCCTAGAGTGGACCAATAGAGAAACAATGTAATGTAAATACCCTATCGTTGGGAGTGGGGTGTGTTTGGGGTGTGGTGTCTTGCATGCTTAAAAACCAGGCTTCTGCCAGGGATTTTCAGTCCTTCTTCTCCTTGCTGAAATCACTAATGAAGAGAGCTGATCACTATACTTGGAGTCTGTTCATCCATGGAACCCACTATTTAACAGTTTAGTTTTTCTTCCCCTCTCTTTGTGGGTCCATCCCAAAATCTCCAGGTATTTCCCAACCAGGAGCTGGCAGTCATAGATACGGGGGACCCTTAAGGGTTAACAAAATATGATCCGCGATCAGAGGTCATTTCGGGGGTATCGCGGGGGATCGCAGGTCCCCCGGGTGAGGTGCAGGGGGGCAGGGCACACAACGAAGCCCCGCCCCTTCTTCTGGCCGCCCCCTTCTTCCAGCCTCATTCTGTTGCAGACGGATGAAGAAGCAGGAGGGTAAGTTGGCGTCCTCTCCCTCTGCCTGGCCGAGGCCACTCCACGTGGCCTCCGCAAGGACTCCCAGCCCCATCCAGGAGCTTCCCTGAGGTAGCTGTGTTAGTCTGTTGCTGCAAAATAGTCCAAGAGTTCAAATAGCACCTTTAAGACTAACCTTTAAGACTAAGACTAACTGAGTGGTGGGTGTGGCCTTATTGGCACACTTCCGGTGATGTCAGGGGGTGTGGCATATGCTAATGAGCAAGTTCCCCTTGCTCTTTTTCTACGAAACGACCCCTGTCTGCGATCCTTTATGAACTGGATGGGAAGCACAGTGAAACCTGTGGTCCACTTTTCAGAGGTGGTTTGCCATTGCCTGCTTCCACGTCACGACCCTGGTATTCCTTGGAAGGTCTCCCATCCAAATACTAGGCAGGGCCCACCCTGCTTAGCTTCTGAGGTCTGATGAGATCGTGCTAGCTGGGGCTATTCAGGTCAGGATCCTTGCGGCTCACTAGATTCAGGCTTTTTAAGCCTGCTAAAATAAAATAAAATAAAATAAAAAATAAATTCAGTCCACACGGAAGAGCCTCAGCAGGCCGCTATTCCGAGAGTTAACGGGATTGGAGGAAAAGCAGGAAGATTCCACCCACAAGGAATTGCTAACCATCAGTGCAGCCTACACATAACGCTCGGACTCTCTGCTCTGGTGTTGCAGAATCAGTGACCACCGCTTTGGTTATGAGAATTTTACTCTGGACAGAAATAACGACTGACTGTTGTGGGGACACAATCCCATGTGACAGGGCCAGCGGTGAGGCGAACTGCAGACATTCCGCAAAGCCCGTTTCCCCTCATTCTGTCTGAAAGTTCCTGTTCCCTCTCCTAATGGCTGAGAGTTTATTTTATTTATACTTATTTAATTTATATCCTGCCCTCACCGCTGAAGTAGGGCAGCTGACCTGATATTATGACAAGATAAAACAGTTAAATTGATAAAAAATTGCAATAAAATCGGTCTAAAATGATACATAAAGTGCTAGCGCAATATAATGATGGTGGGCATCCGGCAGCCAGCTGGCAACATGGTCTGGGTTAGCAGGACGAAAGGAAAGGGACCGAACCACATAAGCCTTGTCTGAGTTATTCACATTTTATAAACAAACTGTGACGACCTCCTTATTTGGGAGGACTGGTTTCCCTTTAAAAGTGTTCTTTATTTTATTCTACTATGTATATACGGCTGCCACCAGGAAATTTAAGGCTTTCCAAACCTTTATACTTTTACTTCTGCTCTTGCTGGTTAGGTAGACCGGGTACAAGGCTTATGAGGAACTATGTGGTCCTGAGGAATCCCCAGGAGTTTCCCAACCTGGATCTAGCAACCCTGCCCCCCATTTCCTGCTGGTGGCCAAGGGGGAGTATGGTTGCCAACTCTGGGTTGGGAAATTCTTGGAGAATTGGGAAGGTGGAGCCTTGGGAAGGGCGGGGTTTGAGGAGGGTGTGTGTGACCTCACCAGGGTATAAAGCCATACAGTCCATCTTCCATTCCTGGGGGGGGGATGTCATTGTTTGAAGATCGGTTGTAATAACGGGAGATCTCCCACCCCCCGCCTGGATGTTGGCAACCCTATGGGGGAATTCAAAAGCCTGGCGGAAGAGCTCCGTCTTGCAGGCCCTGCGGAACTGTACAAGGTCCCGCAGGGCCCGGATCTCCGCCGGGAGCTCATTCCACCAGGTAGGAGCCGCCACCGAAAATGCCCTGGCCTTGGTTATGGGGGAATTATAGACTTGGTCTCAGCTCAGCAGTGACGGCATCCAAGTGGTTCGGCCAATAATAGCAGTGGCTTCAGCAGATCAGGAAAATAAATAATAGAGCTTGTTCATTTCTTTCCACTTCTCACATATCCAGCATCTACCACAGGGGTCCTCAACGGGGTGCTCACAGGCACCATGGTGCCTGCCAACACCTTTTCTGGCTCCCACCGAGTGTTTTTAGGAAGTGGACGGGGCCAGGTAGGGCTTTTGCCTTGCAAGGCTTCTGATTGGCCACTGGAGATTTGATTGGCTGTTCAGATTTTTTTTAAAAAATATTGCTTTGGCAGCAGCGGCCACCACGGCACAATGACCTACACTGTGTGACTATAGTTAAGCGGTGGCAATCATTTTGTGGCTGGCTCTGCCTCCTGTGGCAGCCATTCTGTGGCAGCCATTTTGTTGCTGCGCCCACCATGCCGTGTCAGAATTCCAAATGTGCCCGCAAGCTCAAAATGTTTGGGGACCCTTGATCTAAGAAGAAGTCAAAGGGCTTGCCTGAGTCTGACAAACCCAAACGACCCCCACTTACCACTTCCCCATTTATTTCAGACGCCTGACACGTTGGACACTCCACCACCACCCGCCGAAAGCGAGGAAGGCCTGGTAGGGGCTCTCATGCATGTGATGCAGAAGAGATGCAAGGTCATCCACTCCTCAGGTGAGTGGTGTCGCTCTGCCACCATCAGAGGGTGTAGCGCACAGGTGGTGGTGGGGAATACGTAATAAACTCCTTCAACCCAGTGATCAAACTGAAAAGGGACTCAAACGCAATTCAGGGGGCAAAATTCCATGGTGGTACACTGGCAACTCCATTTCGAACATTTTTCTTAAGAAACAGAAAATAATAATTAAGTGTCCTTAAATTGCAGCTGAATTATGGCAACCCTCCATTGGGGTTTTCGAGACGACAGGGCTATTCGGGCTACTATTTGGAAATACATACCGGCCCCAGTCACACGGGCCAGATAACGTGGGGGGGGAGGCGTGGCTGTTTGCCCCGGAGCAAAATAAAGCGTGGTAGCTCGATCACATGGTCCCCCGAGTCTCCGTGCTTTGGCTGTTAGCTGGCGATCACATGGCGATGCTGCATCATGGCAAAGAAGCGGCGTAGCGCAATCACACAAGCGTTTCGCGTTTGTGTGCATGCCCAGTTCCGTGGAGCAGCACTGCTTTCAGTTTCGTGTTTGTGCGCATGCGCTTACGAAAAACATCCACTTTGCGGCGAGACGTGGATGGGTGCCGGATGCCACGGGATACTAGCGCTCCTGCAATCAGACGCCCGCCTGTGCCACCCATTTTCCAGATACCAGTGCACTTTCCTTGGTACTTTTTAACTTTGCATCTTCGGCGGGACGCCACAGGTTGGCCACGGGTGCGCTACGCTTCCCAGATGTTGCGGTGTGATCGCGCCCCGAAAATCCGCCCGACATGTGTGCCTTTCGCGTGGCAAATTCTCCATGTGAACGGGGCCACTGATTCCTTTTGAAAGCCATTTACTGATAAAGTACAGAGCAGAGAATCACCGACCTCTTCTCACACTAAGAAGCAGTTATAATTTGAACTGGGGGAATTGTATTTGAGTCACTTTTCAGCTGTGTGGAATTTTGCCCTCTGAACATTTGGGGAAACTCTATTTGGAGTCAAAGGGTTAAACGTTCCCACCCTCCGTGCTTCTTCCCTGATCAGATCAGCATGCGCATGCAGACATGGGCTCACACATGGTCGCATGGATTCAACAAAAACCACCAGTAGGGTAATCCCAGACCTCCAGACTAATGTCTGCTTTGGCACTAAGGGCCCAGTGCAAGTTGAAATCGCTCGTTAGTAATGACTTTGAAGGTCTGGATGTACCCAGAATGCATGTTTATCCCTATTTGAAACTCTCCTTGCACGGGTGCTCCGGAGAGCCTTCTGGCTTATCTTCCTCCCGCATTATTTACTCGTTCTTCTGCATCCACAGACGACGACGAAGATAATGGAGTTGAAGACGACGACGACGAATGGGAGGACTGAGGGTGTCTGGCACCGAAAGCCCCCTTCCTGCAAACTGGTTGTTGTCTGAATGGCTGTAGGCATTTCAGTGTGTTGCTCTTTCGTCACCGGCATCCCAAAACCCGTTTCCCTACCTCATCTGGCAATCTGTGCAGACTCTCTGTGATCCAGCCGCGTACTGCTTATTCTCTTAGGCGCACCTGGACGCCTTGGACAGTTTTAGAATGTGAGGCTGTAACCCTAAATCTTTTCACACCTTTGTTCTTGAAAATACCATAGATAATCTTCGGCTTCTAACTTTCTAAAGGTCATATTATCTTTCAGCCAACCCCTTCATTGCCTTTTCTTTCTCCTAGCCATATAATCGTGACTTTTTTTTTTTTAAGCGGTTCCCTTTTTGAGGCCAACGCACAGGTAGGAAGAAGTCTGGAATGTAAAGAGAAGCCCCTGTCATATAAGGCAACCCGTGCTTTGTTAACTCGTGCAGAAATCCTAGCTGTCTCAATTCTTTGCACCTTTCTTTCTTTTGCTAAGCACGTTTCCTCTTGCTTTTACCGTGGGAAAAAAGCAATCTTCAAGCTTTAAGACGGGGATTACCTGTTTACCTTCAAACCTGGCTAAACGCTTTGATTGTGGCGCGATCCCAGAGGAAGGAAGCCACAGAACCTTCCCACCGCGTTCGGTTGGTGCCATCGTGGAGAAATATGTGCTGTGAATTAAAGTATTTTGAATGTACCTACTGGCCAAAACATTAGAGTCAAAAACAATTTAGAAGATGGCAAACCAACAAGTAGCTATCCCAATTACTTATGAATGGCCTTCAGACTCCTTCAGAGGATTCTTTCAGTCTTTCAGTGTTCCTTCAACAACAGCACTTGTAGAAGGAACACTGAAAAAAATAACAGATTCCCCCAGAAAAAAGCCCTTTGGCGAAGCGCATAGGGAATTTTCAGCTGAGTAATAAAATATATACTTTTTCCTTTACTTGCCCTGTTGGCCTTGTCCTTATTTCTTTTCTCTCTCAAATGAGCCAGCCTTGCTGGGAGGGCGGGGTGAAAATCTAATAAAATAAATAAATAAATGCAGGATTGCCAATCCCCTGGTGGAGCCTGGAGATCTCTTGGAATTACAACCGATCTCCAGATTATAGAGTGGAGAAAAATGGCTACTTTGGAGGGTGGACTCTGTGGCATCGCAGCCCTACTGAACTCTCTTCCTCCCCCAGACTCCGCCCCCCCAGGCTCTACCTCTGAATCTCCAGGAGTTTCCTAACCTGGCATTTGTTCACTTTTTTGCTGACTCATGGCAACCCCGTGGGGGTTTTCAAGGCAAGAGACGTTCAGAGGTGGTTTGCCATTGCCTGCCTCCGTGCCACACAACCTTGGTGTTCCTCGTATTCCTTGATGTTCTCCCGTCTAAATACTAGCCAGAGTTGACCTTCCTTAACTTCTGAGATCTGATGAGACCTGGGCTATCCAGGTCAGGGCAGAAGCTGGAGTAAGTTAAAGGTTTCCCTTGCTCGAAAGCCAGTCGACTCCGACTCTAGGGGGCGGTGCTCATCTCCGTTTTCAAGGCGAAGAGCCAGCGCTGTCCGAAGACTCTTCCGTAGTGCACCGCATGACTAACCACCAAGCCACACTGAACGCTGTTACCTTCCCACCGCAGCAGTACCTGTTATCTACTTGCAGTTTCTTGCTTTCGAACGGCTAGGTTGGCAGGAGCTGGGGCCAGAGATGGGAGCTCACTCTGTCACGCGGCACTGGGGTCTTGAACTGCCGAGCTACAGACCTTCCGGTCTGCATCTCGGCGTGTTAACCTCTGAGCCACCGCAGCCCCATAGAACCTGGAGTAGGCAACCCTAATCATATGCTTGCCTCTGGATCTCATGGAAGAGTCCTTCACAGGGTTACCAGTTCCCCCGTGGCCACCAGCGGGGAATGGAGGGGTAAGGTTGCCAGATCTTTATTTATAAGATTATGCATGGGATAGAGCAGGTCGAGAAAGAGGTACTTTTCTCCCTTTCTCGCAATACAAGAACTGGTGGGCATTCCATGAAATTTCTGAGCGGTCGGGTTAGAACAGATAAAAGGAAGTACTTCTTCACCCAAAGACTGATCAACACATGGAATTCACTGCCACAGGAGGTGGTGGTGGCTACAGGCATGGACAGCTTCAAGAGGGAATTAGATAAGCATATGGAGCAGAGGTCCATCAGTGACTATTAGCCACAAGGTATAGATAGGAACCCTCAGTCTGGGGCAAGTGATGCTCTGTCTTCTTGGTGCTTGGGGGGGGGGTAGCAACAGTGGGAGGGCTTCTAGTGTCCTGGCCCCACTGCTGGACCTCCTGAGGGCACCTGGTATTTCTGGCCACTGTGTGGCAGAGTGTTGGACTGGATGGGCCTTTGGCCTGATCCAACCTTGGCTTCTCTGATGTTCTCTTATGTTCTTATAATCCGAGTTGGGAAACTCTTGGAAATTTGGGGTTGGAGCCTGGGGATGACAGGGACCTCAGTGGGGTCCAATGCCATAGAGTCTGTCCTCCAAAACAGCCATTTTCTCCAGAGGAACTGATCCCTGTAGTCTGGAGATGAGCTGTAATTCTGGGGGATCCCCAGGCCCCACCTGGAGGCTGGCATCCCTACTCCTTGGCTACGAGGCTTCCGTTTTCTTCTATCCCATTGTAGCAGGCATGGAAAAATGGACACTCCGGTGACCCGTCAGGAACAAATCTATAGTGTTCATATGAGTACGTAGTTCTTACCCTGCCCACGCCCTCTGCATCTGTAGGGGCAAAGAGACAGCAAGCAAAGAAAAACCAGCGCTAGGAGAGGAGGGCAGCCGGGTCACCCAGGTCAGCAGAGGAATGGAGTCAGGTCATCCCAAGCCGTGGTCAACAGGTCATCGGCAGGATTTTTCAAACAACTCTTTTATTCAAGGTTTTCCAAACAAACAGCAAGGGGGGGGGAGAAGAAAGAGAGAGATTAACTAATAATGAATAAAACATAATAGTACATGGAGAAGACTCTTGAGAGTCCCTTGGACTGCAAGAAGATCAAATCAGTCAATCCTCAAAGAAATCAACCCTGACTGTTCCCTGGAAGGCCAGATAATGAAACTGAAGCTCAAATACTTTGGCCACCCAATGAGAAGGGAGCACTCACTGGAGAAGACCCTGATGCTGGGAAAGATTGAAGGTCAAAGAAGATGGGGACGGCAAAGGATGAGATGGTTAGACAGGGTCATCGATGCAACGAACATGAAATTGAGCAAACCTCAGAGGACGGCGGAAGACCGGAAGGCCTGGCGGGATCTGGTCCATGGGGGCGCGAAGAGTCGGACTCGACTGTGCGACTGAACAACAACAAACAGTCTATGGGTGTTCCAAGAGCTAGCCAAGCATGAATTTATCTGAGGGATTTTTAATGCAAAGAGTGGTTTCATAGTCAGGCATTGGGGGGTGCCCAAAGAGACACACAGGGATGATTCCTCATGCACTCATTGCTGCTGCGGAGGCAGAGGTATCTGTAGTGGCAGCAGGGCATCCACGTGGGGGTGGTGGGGAGGGGGCTGAACACACACGAAGCTGCCTGATGCTGGATCGGGCCCATGGTCCATCAAGATCAGTGCTAGCAACCACAAGTTCATAAGAACATATGAGAAGCCATGTTGGATCAGGCCAACAGCTCATCCAGTCCAACACTCTGTGTCATGCAGTGACCAAAACCCAGGTTCTGAGGAGGTTCACTATAGCCAGGAATCCCTATTAAATAGCAGAGGGCGCTAAGCTTACATGCAGCAGCAGCTTCTGGGCACTACGTGTGCTAGCAAAGCTACAAAGAGCCACTTGTCAGTTTTGAACTAATGAGAGTTCTTTATTTAGGGAACTGCATTCTGGATAGGATCCATGGGGTCGCGAAGAGTCGGACTTGACTGTGCGACTGAACAACATTCTGGATAGTAGAGGTGGGAGACAGGGATAGAATCTAATCGAACTAGATGGGATGGATGCAGATGGAGAATGCATGTCCTGCATCCATGGTGCCAAAGATGGAGAGTGTGTGCCCCTTGTGTGTGTGAGAGAGAAGGTGTTAAAGCTGGAAGAAAGGAAGTCTTGTCCCTAAGAATAGCATTCTACTTCAAAGGGATAGTATCAGATCGCAGGAAGGACAGGATGCTCTGTGTGTCCCGACCTCTCTGTCTAAAAATGTATGGTTACATTGCTGAAGTTTGAGGCAGAAGACCCCCATTGAGGCAGAAGACTCCCACTCTTGCCCCCCCCCCCAGGACCAAGAATACATGCGCTGGATAATGCACTATCAATGCACTTTAGCTGTTGTTTGCAAGAGGACTGTGCCGTTCCATAGACCAATTCCGCAAAAGCAGCTGTTGCGCTCTCTGTTTCCCCCGTTGTACTGGTCAATTTCCCACTATTTGCTGCAGGGCCACATTTTGACACGCATCTCCCCCGAGTCTTCTTGATCCTTATTTTTTAGGGCGCAACAACTGCTTTTGCGGAATCGTGCTTGAATAAAACTTCGTTGGTCTTAAAGGTGCCACTGGACTCTAAATTTGTGCTACTGCTTCAGAACAGGGCTAGTCGAGCCGAGCCGACCCGACCCGACCCAACCGATTTTCCCTGCATCTTCTTGATCCTAAAAAATAAGGATCAAGAAGACAAGTGGGCAATTGGTGGGAGATGCGGGTCAAAATGTGGCCGCACAGCAAATAGTGGGAAATCGAACCCTACAACCAGGGGAAACGGCAGACCGAGGGCACAACTGCTTTTGCGGAATCGGTCACAGTAAAATCCCGTTGCAAAGTGCATTGAAAGTGGATCAAAAATGCATTATTCAGCATATGTGAAAGCGCCCATTATTGTGCTCCATCTATAGTAAAGATTCCCTTGTTCGAAAGCCAGTCGAATCCAACTCTAGGGTTGCTGTGCAAGAGCCAGCGCTGTCCAAAGAAGTTTCCGTGGTCATGTGGCCGGCATGGCTAGATGCCAAGGTGCACTGAACGCTGTTACCTTCCCACCGAAGTGGTACCTATTCATCTACTTGCAATTTCTTGCTTTCAAACTGCTAGGTTGGCAGGAGCTGGAACTAGAGACGGGAGCTCACTCCGTCATGCAGCACCCGGGTCTCGAACTGCTGAACTACTGACCTTCCACAGCCTGCAGTTCAGCGTCTTAACCACTTGAGAGCCACCACAACTCAATCTATAACTTACATCTATAATTTACAGCTAATAGCCACCAATAGACCTCCGCTCCATGTGTTTATCCAATCCCCTCTTGACGCTATGCTTGTAGCCCACTGCTTGTAGTAGTGCATTCTAAATTCCCTGTGTTAATTACGATTTGGGTGCAGGAGCTCCTTACTTTTAAAAAATTACTTTTTAAGTCTTCGCCGTCGGCCGAGGCACCAAAGCCGGGGACGGTGTTCTTTTGCCAAACTGACAGCTTCGATTTGTTTTTTGTTTTACGACCCGTCGTTTACACGGAAGCAAGGCCGGCTGAGCCCAACGGGACTTCCTCTCCCCTCGCGAAGCACACCTCAAAAGACGGCAGCGGGGAAGAGTCGGCGGGCGTCGCGCGCGCGGCGGAGCCCATGCAAATGAGGTCAAGGAAGGCGGGCCCTCGAGGTCGCTCCGGGCGGGACTTCGCGCGCTCCCGAACTTCCCATTGGGCGAGGCGCGCGCGGCTCAAAAGGCGAGCTCCGGCGGGCCCGCGCCATAGGGTAGTTCGGCGCCGATCCTCCCCCTCTCCCTCCTCCCCCCCCTCGTCTCGTGAGATGAAAAGTTTCTGGCGGCCTCAGTGACTGGAGGGAAATTGAAATAAATTAAAAAAAAGGGGACCCAAAATGGCGGAAAATTTAAAAGGTGAGTGGAGCG